ATAAAACAAAACTCTAGGTAATAGGATGTGTTAATCTTTTCAATAATAAAGCTGATTACACACAATATACTTTGTCAATCAACATAATGAATTCAACAGTGAAAACATCCTAGATAATAATTATGTATTAGTAAATTGTTAAATATTCAATGAAAACACAAACGTATAGTTGAATTCCTATTCTAAATATTGTTTATGCGGTTCAAATATTCTGAAAATAATTATTTAAAATAATTGTCATTCAAAAAGAACATTCGTTGACAATGTGTAATTAGATCTATTTCATTACAATGTATGTAGATAATATTGTTAACCTAAGAAGTAATTCAATAAAGTAACTTCGGCAAAGTAAATGATCATCTGATTGGTAGTTACTTATTTACTAAATATAAATTATTGATTAAATTCATTTAAAATTACTACATTCTCCACAAACCCCATTCTGATCATAAATTCATTTAGTCAAAAACCATGATAAAGACGGATGAATAAATGCTAAAATCCATAATATTTGAGCTTATTACCTAGTCAACTCCTGGAGAACTTCTAGAGTTACTACCAGTTCTAAGCCCGGGCAAAGAAGGAGAGTTGGGTATGAAGTCAGCAACCCCATCCTTTAGAAAAAAACCTTGCTAGAAGAACTTTCCAAGAAAGTATTTAAATTAGTTGAAGTCGGCTCTGGGAATTAAAGGGTATTCATTTAAAAGGATCATGACACCTTATAATGAAAGGTGAGATTCTTCGGATATCACAAGGCTGATGACCCTTCTGACCACCAGAGCAACAACTAACATAGGTACACAGCATGTTCGCTTAATGTGAGATGCCAGGAGGGTCATCCAAATGACTGCAGAAGCGAAAAGATATAACCTGTCGGTGCCTGGTATAAGTGAAACTAACAGTAAGCAAGCTTGACAGAAAAGATTAACTTCTGGAGAGGTGCTGTTGTACTCTGGTCATGCAGAAAAAAATACCTCGTACATACAAGGAGTTGCACTGACGCTGTACAAATAAGCACGAAATGCACTTATAGGATGGGAATCTCATAGATCCAAAATCATCGAAGGCATTTATCGAAACAAAGAAGAAGGGGATTACAATGAGTGTCGTCCAGTGCTATGCCCCCACCACTGATGGGAGTGGAGATGATGATCTGTTTTATGAGAACCTGCAGTTCATAATAGAGAACTATCTCAAAGATCACATCATCCAGATAGGAGACCTGAGCTTCATGGTCGGAATGAACACCACCGCGTATGAAGGTATTTTAGGACGATATTGATTGGGAGAAAGAAAAAAGGGTGATGACAGATTTGCAGATTTATGTACATTCAACAATGTTTCTACATAAGGCTACATAAATTTCATCAAATAATATTTGCATCACCAAATTATTCACAAAGTCAATGGAAGACGTAGAAACCAGGAGAGGAGATGATATAGCTCCACATCACCACCATCTGGTTGTGGCCAAGATGAAACTGAAGTTAAAGAAGCAATTGACAACTGGGGAAACAGAATTATGAAGGTTCAACACAGCCTTCCTTCAACATACTGACAAACTTAGTGAATTCAAAATAGATCTCAACAACAGGATCCAAGTCTTACCAGATCTGGTCAAATTAAAGGAAGCTACTATGGAAGACAACTGGAAAGGGGTTAAAGGAGCACCAGCATCAGTATTTCAGGGGTTCCTGAGTAGCAAGAAACATCATCACAAAGGACGGATCTCAATCGAAACACTTGACATGATTGAAGAAAGGAAGAACAAGAAGAATTAACAACAGTCGAACAAGAACAGAGAAAGTCAAGGCATACGCCGAATACATTGGAGCAAACAGGCAAGTGAAGAGGAGTATTAGAACCGGAAAGCAGAAATACGTGGAAGGACTAGCAATGACAGCAGAAAAAGCCTAAAGAGAAGGAAATATGGGACGACTGTGTTACACAAGGAAACAACTGGTAGGGAAATACAGTAAATCAGAGAGACCAGTCAAGGACAATAAGGCAAGACAATCACTAGGATTTCAGAACAGTGGAACGGGTGTGTAGAGCACTTTGAGGAACTCTTGAATAGGCAAGCCCCAATGAATCCACTAGACACTGAAGCGACACACATAGAACTTCCTATGTCTCTACATCAGCGATCGAAGAAATCAGGATGGCCGGTCGTCAGACAACATACCGGTCGAAGCACTGAAGTCAGACATAGGAGCAACTGCGAACGTGATCCGCATTCTGTTCAGGAAGATTTAGGAGGAAGAACAAGTGCCGATTGACTGGAAATAATGATATTTCATCAAGACATCGGAAAATGGAGATCTGAGAGAATGTGAGAACTACAGAGGAATCACACTACTGTCAGTACCAGGGAAAGTTTTCAACAAATTGTTGCTGAACCGGGTGAAAGATTCAGTAGACGCCTAACTTCGGGACCAACAGTTCGGATTCTGTAAGGATCGGTCGTGCACAGACGAAATCGCGACACTACGGATGATCACTGTTGAACAATCATTTGAATGGAACTCGTCACTATACATCAATCCATTGACTATGAGAAAGCATTTGACAGTGCGGATGGGAGAACATTATGAAAACTTGTTCAACACTATGGTGTACCTGAGAAGACCGTCAACATCAAACGGAATTCATACAACGAACTACACTGAACTGCTGTGCATGGAGAACGGCTGACAGGTGCATTCTAAGTGAGGACCGGAGTCAAACATGTCTTCCTACTCTCCCCCTACCTCTTTCTTCTGGTGGATGACTGGATTATGGAGACCTCAACATCTGAGGGGAAGCATGGAATACAATGGACGGCTTGCATAAAACTAAACGTTCTGAACTTCCCAGATTACTTACTTCCTTACTCCTGTTGTCCCTCATGAAGGATCATGGGCCGCCCATCAGCATTCTCCATCCAGCTCTGTTCAGGACAATCCTTTCCATTTGTTTCCAGTTGCTATTTATCCTTTGAATTCCTGATTCGAATTCTCGTCTCAGTATGTTCTTTGGTCTACCTCTTTTCCGTTTCCTTTCGGGATTCCAAGTTAGTGCTTGCCTCGTGATGGAGTCTGATGATTTCCACGATGCATACCCTATCCACTTCCAACGTCTTTTCTTAATTTCCTTCTCAACTGGAACCTGGTTGATCCTCTCCAAAAGTGGGTTGTTGTTGATGTTACCCGATCAACGGATATTCAGTATTTTTTGTAGACAATTGTTTAGAAATACTTGTACCTTCTTGATGATGGTTGTGGTAGTTTTCCATGGTTCGACTCAGTACAGTAGAACTGTCTTGACGTTGGTATTGAAGTTTCTCACTTTGATATTGGTTGAAAGTTGTTTTGAGTTCCATATGTTCTTCAACTTCAAGAATGTGGCTCTTGCTTTGTCAATCCTCGCCTTTACGTCTGCATCTGATCCTCCTTGTTTATTGATGAAGCTGTCCAGGTATGTGAAAATTTTCACCTCTTACATAGTTTCTCCATCAATTGTGAATGGTGTGATGTTCTCTGTGTCGTATTTGAGGATCTTTCTTTTTCCCTTGTTTATGTTGAAGTCCATTGACTTAGAGGCTACTGACACACTTTTTGTCTTGACCTGTATTTGTTGGTGTGTATGGAATAGGAGTAATTTATTTGAATGGTTTTGACTGGTAATTAGTAACAACACATACTTCATCCTACTTCGTTAATTTCGCTCAACGATAACCCATATATTCAGGGTATGGAGCAAACAGTATCTGGGGTTATTGTGGGAGGTGGGACTTTCTATGATAACTTTAGTCTTCTTTGTTAAACGCTACATATTAATGAAATTTACACAATTTACACAGTTTCTGATGAGATTCTACGATAATCAATATTTCATTTAGAATCCACAGGTTAAACCCCAAATGAAATCAAGTTTATGTTCTTCATAGTTGTTACAGATTACGTTTAGATAACTGGACTGTTTTTCATAGTTGTTAAGTCAGATCAGTTTCCATCAACAACAAAAAACCTTTACATGAAAACCTATTTTTATTTATTCGTTTATGAACTTTAGGTATTAATACAGTTTCGAATAAAGATATACCGAATTTATATTTCCGATAGACATGTATTTTTAGCTGAAGTAGTTTTCGTAAATGACATTTGATCAATCAGTCTTTGTTTAGACTCTATCCAATCAACTATGTAATATTGTTTTGATGTCAATTATTAAGTATGTCTTATATCGTGTACTGGACAGATCATTATGGAATTTATTAATTTATAGATACTCTGCCTTATCAATTTAAAATTTCAAGAAGTAATACTTATTCATAACAAAATGTACAACAGAATTCCACCAAATAAACTCATTTTAATAGTCTATTTATTTAAGGCAACAATATACAAAACAATATATTTGATACATAATTTGGTATTGACTAAGGGTAATTCGATTCAAACCTGAATGAATCAAAGTTAAATTATTTTGGGGCTGAAATAATGAATTAATTTTTCTCCATTTTGTTCTTTATCGATATACACCATAGCAATTAAGACGAAAGAGAAAAATCAACAGTAAATTTTATAGGGGAAGATGCTGAATAAAAAATTATAACCATTTGAATTTGTGACCCATTGACACTTATAGCGTGTGTATCAAGTTTCTCTGTCTGAAAATAATCTTCTACCCTTCTCTGTTTCTATTTATCTCATTCTATATTTATTGATACATACAAATTGGAATCATTTATCTTTCTCTCTCTCGTAGTAAATTATCCAATAAAATTCTTTTGATAGGGGGTGAGAAATAGAAATGTATATCATTACAGTTTATAATATTTATCTTTTAATTTAAAGTTTTCAATTCATACCCTACACTAGCAATTCATTTCTGTCTGTCTGTCCAATCGTTTTCATTCCTTTTCCAATGATATAGTTAGTGCCGATTTCTCACGCTACTCAGATATGAAATTTGCGTGATCAATTCTATTAGATTTTATGACATCCCTTGATAGATATATGCATTTAATTTTTTACAGGATTATAGTATCATTTTTGATTTGACGCCTTGTCCATTTCATACCAATTTAATGATGTATGGTTGTTGTGTAGTCATGATATACAGTGGACAGAAAGACAAAAGTGGTACACTGATGAATTCAATCATAATACAAAAAATAAAAAAATAAACTAATCCTACAATGATCTGTTATTTAAACCAAATAATCTTATAGTTGGTATCAGAAATCCACTTACTTCAATAATGGCTACATCTGAGCTAATGGAATCTGCTAAATTAAATGTTCAAGAAATAAGTTTCAGTGATAAATTACCAGATGAACAAGCATTGAAACGATTTCTTTCTAATTATTTACCATTTTCTCTCATGAACTTACCAAATTCTAATATATTACATCTTCGAAATGATTTATCAAATGTTACTCCTATGAATACAATGATAACACCAATATCAAAATCATCAATGACTACAACAAATAGCTCGACAGTAACATCACTGTCCAACACAGATATGAAGTTGAAAAATGCAAATTTGCCATTAGACTGTCCACTTACATTCAATCCAAATATTTACGCTCGAGAATTCAAACATGATACAAAGAATGGTGATGAACACAGAATGAACTATATAAATCCTCAAATTAGTTTATACAATGACGTAAGTAATCATAACCATAATAAACAAAGTATGAACGTATTGAACACCAATTCCGGTCCAACATATGATTGGATGTTAAATCCACAAAAATTATTATCCTCATTAATGATGGCAAAAGCTGATCGTGTAAATATGGGACCAGATTACGATGAATATCATATGTTGCCAAAACCTTCAATATTTGGTGTATTAGATAAATTAACAAGTCCTGACTTAGCAATCAGTGAACAAAGTAATATTAATCAAAAGGAAATTAAATCATTTATGTCTTCAACGGCCACATTTCCCGTTGTATCTACTCCATCAAATGCTGCTAGCAATACAATGAGTAACTCTAGAATAGCATCACCCATTAAAGTAAGTAGTTTATTAAGTGAAACACATCAATCAACTTATGCTACTAGTACACCAAATAAACCTCTTAAAAATAACAAACAAGAAACAGATTTTAAATCTTCTAATGATCTTACAAATGAATCACTTCAAACTAGTTCCTTGCCGTTTTCATCTCAAGAAATCATTCGAGTATGTCAGACATTTGAAGAAGCAGGTGACATTGAACATCTTAGCCGATTTTTATGGTCACTTCCATTGAATCCTAATTTGTGGGAAGTATTAAATAAAAGTGAAGTAATTTTAAGAGCTAGAGCACTTGCAGCATTTCATACGAGAAATTTTAGAGAATTATATGCTATTTTAGAAAGACATACATTTTCCAAATCGTCCCATGTTAAACTTCAAGCCTTATGGCTTGAAGCACATTATCAGGAAGCAGAAAACCTTCGTGGTCGTCCACTCGGTCCAGTTGATAAATATAGAGTAAGAAAGAAATTTCCTATGCCTAGAACAATTTGGGACGGCGAACAAAAAACACATTGTTTCAAAGAGCGTACAAGAGGTTTACTACGTGAATGGTATCTTCAAGATCCTTATCCAAGTCCAGCTAAAAAACGTGAATTAGCTAATGCAACTGGTTTAACTCCAACACAGGTTGGTAATTGGTTCAAAAATCGGCGACAACGTGATCGTGCAGCAGCAGCTAAAAATCAGTAAGTCATTTTTATCAATTAAGTAATGGATATGTGATTCATGAAATAATAAGGAAACTTGAATTATTACATAATTCAAACCAAAAACCTTGGTGCTTAATCATTTTAATCGACATGTCTAATTAATTCATAGTGTAAAATACAATTGGATACATGTCTTTTATTCACTTTTAATCTGGGTACAGCATTTGTCGGATGAAGTCAAGATAATACTCATTTAATAACCACATCTTCTAGTTCAGTCCATAAAAACTTGAATGAAAACTGTTTTAATGATTTAATTTGATTAAATGTATGTCATCATCACTCATCAAATTCATTCTAATTTTATTACTTGGGTTACAAACATACAGTTAACTAATCAGCCTACCCTAGCTTGTTCTAGATTATTGAGTGTTTATACTCAGTACTACTTACATAGATGGTTAATAACTATAACGAAATTATACATTTTGGTATTTTTTTATTACAACTTAATTGAATTCCGATCTTTACTGAGAAATTTCACTGAATATAATCCAATAAATAAACACTTATTTTCTAGAACAGTATCCTTGAGATGTCAACTCAAATTCAAAGTTATAAATTCATTCTAGATTATAGTAGGATTGAATAGTCATAAGTTGTAATAAATTGTAGCGTCTATTAGTTCCTAATTTTTGGTGTCTCTTCAAATAACATTGAATCTCACTTGTCTTACTAGTATACTTCTGTAAAATATGACTAAAGTTTGACAGGACGAGGAGAGGATATAATATAACATTTTCTAATCATTTTATAGTTAATAGTTTACATCACTAACTGACATTTGTTGGATGACTATTAAAAACTAGGAAGTGTCAACATGCAACTCCTAAGTAGTGATGACCCACGACCTCAAATCAAATCGAACTGAGGACCGTCGGGCATCACGATGGACAGCATCAGTTCATAATGACAGATATCTTGGAGGAAAATATTTAGTTATACTTTCCCTGTATACATAGTAAAATTTCACTCTTAGTAGAATTCAGTAGTAGATTTAGTATGCTAACATAAATATCAAATGAATATAAAGTGTTAAGTTTTTTTAATAGAATAAAAATTTATGAACTAATTTCGGACATACTTTATTAGCTACCATTTTCAGCTGTTTTAAGAATTATTCTGTAAGGTTTACTTTGCTTTCTAACTGAAAATCCAACTATAAATTTTAAAACAACAGTTTTATTTTCAGAATGGGTTTTGTGGAGATTTTTAGAAATTTCACAGACTGAAATCGTGAGTCGATTGAAGTTAGACCACCATGGAAAACCTGGAAGCACTGGACTGCCGTTTCGTCCTAGTATGGGATGCACACTGCTGGGGAGTCCCATACTAGAACGAAACGGCCGTCCAGTGCTTCCAGGTTTTCTATGGTGATCTAGCTTCAATCGGTTCATGATTTCAACAGTTTTATTTAACTGTGAATGAAATTAAACTAAAAATATCAGTGACTAATACATAATGTATATTTTGTAAAACTTCAATAATTTAGTATGAATCTGAAAATAGTTAACCATACATAATGAATGGCTCATTAGATTATAGATTTATAGCTTTTAATAAAAATACCGTGATATAAAACTGAAAATAGTCTACCCTCTCATTATTGATATTCATTAGTAAATTAATAGTAATGTATGTGGTCGATACTCGAATTTTAATGTCATTCCAACTAACCGATACTTTATTCTTTAGTAAAACAAACAATGAACTGAAATGGTTATAGTAATGATTACAGTGTTTGAATAATTGAACTAACCTTCTATAATGTTCATTCTTTTATATATCAATACTAATTTTTTTTTACTGTTTTACTGTACAAACATAAACATGAGTTACGTTCTTTTGTAGTGAATCTTTTTTACTGGAAACAACTATAGATGAAGACCGAAATATAAATATTTACATACCCAACATATTTCGAACGGCATAATTATTTATCACCAAGAGTATAATCAAGAGTAACATGAAAACAGATTTTAAAAGATCTAAGCATCCAAACCGCCATGATAGTACAGTTAAGTTTGTTGAGACTGTAAACAAAGGAGTGTTTAAGTTCAGTCTTTGAAGTTTGTGATTCTTATTTTCCTACTTTTAACCTGTTATGACAGCATATATTTCATTTCAGTACTATTCAGTGTCAAAAATTGTTATTTCCTGTTTATCATAATTATGTACTTTCTTTTTATTATTTCATTAGCCGGTAAAGATACGGTCGAATTGCTATTAATATATTTTACAAATAATTTTGGTCAGTCTTAGTTGGCATGTGTTCACTTTGTGCAGATTGTCTCAATATTACTACTTTGTCAGGAGTCTTATCGAATAGATGTATTCTATTATATAAAACTTGTGACAAAATGGCTATATTGAGGCAATTCATATGGGATATGCATATGTCAATTAAGATTGGTCAAGATTCAGTCTAGAATATCCACAATGAGATATTTTAAACTTTTAAAAGTGTTCTATAAATACTTTATACTTATAAGCTTAAACTAACCTTTTTAATATAATATTTCAATCTATAAATGAGACATAATAATTTATACATTTGTGCAAAGTAGTTTTGCCCAAAAATATTAGAAATGTATTCAAATTAATTAATCGATAGACGAAAATTACTTCCCATTTTTACATGTTCAACAGTTGTTAAAATAAGAGTTGACGGACGATTGATGTTTGTTTTAAAACTATTTTATAGGCAAAAGCAAGTCAACGATTTATTCCAAAATTGCGAAATGAATACAAGCAATCTAAAAAAAATTTCCTGACAGCCTGTAACAAAAATTTAAGGTCTATTTTAAAAATTCAAAAGTTTCTGATATACTGGTAATTTTAGAAAACCTAGAAGCACTGGACGGTTGTTTCGTCCTAGTATGGGACTCCTTAGCAGTGCGCATTCACGGTGGTCTAGCTTCAGTTGACTCATGATTTCAACCTGTGAAATTTCTAAAAATCTCCACAAAACCCATTCTGATAATAATCAACTGCTCACTAGTGACTGACTTCAAGAGATACTCCTGGAGTTCTAGTGAGAAGCTGTTACCAGTGGAGTTCAATCAGGTCTGTTGTGAGATATCAGCTCACCGAAGACAATGGCGTACGGTAGCGCAACTTCGTGGATTGGTTGAAGTTAGGCATTAACACCGTTGGATGCCTACCGGCTCAGTGGTCTAGTCGTTAAGTGCGCGCGCGAGAGACCAGTAGGTCCTGGGTTCGAAGCCCGCGGGGTGCGGGATCGTGGATGCGCACTGCTGAAGAGTCCCATACTGGGACGAGGCGGCCGTCCAGTGCTTCCAGGTTTTCCATGGTGGTCTAACTTCAATCGACTCATAATTTCAGTCTGTGAAATTTCTAAAAATCTCCACAAAACCCATTCTGATAATTTTAGAAAGCTTTATTTTATCAAGTAGTAATATAACCTCAGAAGTAAGTTCTGAGATAATCTGATGAAATTAATAGTTATTATTGTATACCACAAAGTTATGTTGTTGCTTGTTTTTTTTTAATTGAAACTCTGAAATGATTGCTGTATGGATCCATTTATGAAAGTACTCAAATAAAAATTTCCATAGGTATACTAAGAATTTAAAAATCAAATAAATTGACACCTTTATTTTAAAACAATTAAACAATAAAGCCAATAAAACTAAGATCAGTTATCATGCAAATTGTAATATTCATTACCATTTCCAATTTCGTATTTGAAGCTAAAGGAAAGATTTAAAGTTGATCATGATTCGTAATCATTTTGTTAAAAAAAAAATAATAATAAGTGAAATAATTACGAAACGGCCGTCCAGTGCTTCCATGGTGATCTAGTTTTAATTGACTCATGATTTCAACCATTGAAATTACTAATAATATCCACAAAACCCTTTCTGAAATTCTCATTTTTCCATAACATTATATCATTATTTCGCTTAGGGATCATTTTGAATGATCAAAACCTAAATTTTTAAAAGATAAAAACTGATATATTAGTAATTGATGTCATATTAAAGGCAAAAGATTATCTGAGATATTGCATAACATTTGATGTTTTTTTTATATTTTAAACTTCAAAGCTATTTCACTTAAAATGTTATGCCCTGAAGATGTCATCGTCGACAGGATTCATTCACTGGATTATGATTAATTTTTGTTGATCTGGTTGTTTTTTTTTGAAAAAAAATCATTTATGTGCTATTCATTGATTGACCAGTTGACTTAAATATTAATTGGATAGTAACAAGCATTGAAAATTACAAAAAAAAAACACCTTCAGGCTAGGATAAATAAACCTAACAGAGCAACTTATGTATAAACAACAGTCGATTAGAAATATAATAGAAATGATCATTTCTCTTATGTTCTCATTAATTCTTTTTGGATCATAGTTGATATAATGATTGTCAGATAGTATAAATTATATGAAAAAGTAGGTAAAAAGTGATCAAATATTAAGAAAACAGTTAGACCGTATATGATTTATACTAAATCAAAATGGACAATCAAATCTACTAATTTCCCTAACAGTTTATCATGTTAGTACATAAAGAATTATAATATTAATAAAAGTAATTTGAAGTTACGTTTAACCGAAATGAAACTGAATATCATAGTAATTATTCATATTTAAAATATTGTATAGTTTTAATTATTTTAATATTTGATAGATTTTCATTACTTTTTGTATTGTATTTCATAATTAGTAACTTAGAAATTGATCACTTCTTAATAATGACCTTGAATATTACTATTTTAGGACCAATTAGTAGCCCAAATGTAACAAAGTCCATGGACACAAAAACTGTAAATCAATGGCTAGTAAACAAAATTTATGCATGTTTATTGAGTGACATTAATAATAAATAAAGAAAACATTATTTGATTATATTTTATTATTAATACTTTCCGGTAATTATTATAGGTTGAACAGAAGAATTATTTTATGGTTATGATTTGTTTTATAATTGAATGAAATTATGAGTATTGTGATAAATTGTTACAGAATTTAGTGTAGAGTTATTTCATCCCAAGTTAGTTTATCTATTTCAAGGGAAGTGATACTTTCAGGATACAAACAAATGCTAAAACTTTTAACGTTAACAGATTACATTGTCCCATACTAGGACGAAATGGCCATCTATGCTTTCATGATCTCAAATGGAAAAATTCATTTCATTTACTTAAAAATAGATGAATGAAGTATTTTTAAAAAATTTTACTTTTTAGCTTAGCATAATTATTTTATATCATAACTATCTCACAAACGATCATACTTTACATAGACTCAATAGGAACAATTAAGTGTTGATGTTTTTAAATTTACATATACTTCAAAGGGTTAAATAAGATAATTTAGGTAAACAACTTTGTGAGTTCAAATACATAAGACAACAAAATACCTGTTATAAATTGTGATTGTCTAGTTTTTTTTTTAATTCATTAAATTAGTAGCGTTATTATGATCATCTGGTATCTATTTCAAACGTATAATAAAAAGTTTTCCTCAGTTGATTGTTGAGTTTTTCACCTAAGATACTGTATTTCAATTGCTGAAAGTCTTAACTTCTTTGTACGTTAAATTACAATATCTTTCCGACCAGGAATTGTTACATTGCAAGTTCTAAATATATAACGAAAAAAAGATCAGTTTATTTAAAAAAATATATTAATAAAGACTTTGAGAAAACTCAATCTTTTAGCTATCGCCAGTATGCTGATACAAAAGTAACTAGGTGAGATTTGATTAGAAAGAAATACTGAAAAATCTTTTTGAACAAAATTTTCGCTGGATTTTCAATTAAGATTTGTTGATAGTGAAATCTAGGGTTTACAATCATCCATTTTAATCAAAGTTAATGTTTATGTTAATAGTAACTCGCGTTACTTAAAGTCAACCTGTTATTGTAGATAAACCTGTTGCAAATAACTTTTAATGTATATCAATTGGTTATTTTTTGGTTTAATCAATCCTTGCTTTTTAGATGGCAATTTACATTTGTAGTAGTATTGTAGCTTTTATTATTATTCCTCAAAAATATGTTCCATTATGTAAACTAAAAGACTCCACAACATATCAAAAATTCCTTTTTCGTACTTTAGCCTTATATCAATACAATAAATGCCTAATTTGGTGTTAATATAGTGAATAACAACCTAGTTCGGTTTAAGTTATTTCTCTAGATCAGCCCTCTATTCAGTTGTAGAGCAATATTATAGTCAAATTACTTAACAAAATAGTAATATCTAACGCTCATTGAGCTTCTATCAGACTCGTAAAATATTAACTCTGAGTTTCTGTACAAAAGCATTTTGAATATTCTCTATGTTGTTCGTTAACCCTTACTGAAATAACACACACTAATGTTAACTGCATAACAGACAGAATAATAGAGATTATTCAAATAATAATTATTAAATTGTCGTCCGAGTAAATTACAACAATTATAAGTGAGATTAATAGAACATTACTGATAATCCTTTGAACTCATAAACTAATATGTTCAAACTGTTTTTCATCAAAAACTATCTTCTATTAATTTAGTCAACTAATTCTACTGATAATCCATTCTATGAGTACTTTAATCCTGCATCCAAAAAAATCAATTGGTGTAACAGATTTAGTGGACAGATTTATTTCTTGTACCTGTTTCAATCTTAAAAACGACTATTGCCTAACTTGACAGTCAATTCTAACTGACTTAGAGTATAAAACGTTGTATTGATGAGGTCTATTAAAGTTTTTTTTTGGAGACTAAATCAAACAAATTATTTTTTTATGTAGATTCATGGTAACAGTATTAAATTACTCAATGATTAAACTGATATGAATTAAATTGACTAATACATTTTGTTTGACGAACCTCATACTCACTATAATAAAAGTCACTACTAATTAACAGTAACAAATTTTAAGAAGTAGCAAAACAGTTACAATCGAAGCAATAAATTACAGTTTATAAGTTAATTGTTCGTGTTTATAAAGTAATAACGAAGCTCTACAACACACCTTAAATGAGTATAAGTTATCGAAATACACTCTCGCTGACGAATTTCCATTAAGTTTTACTTAATATAACGAGGTGAATATTGTTAAGTTTAATTATTCAGGGGAAACTATGTGTGGCTTCATAGTAATTTTTTATCACTAGATTCAGATGATAACTCAATAGAGATAAGAAATGATGATATCACTGTACCACAGTTAAACATTTTCTGTTTGAAGTGTACTACTGGATTGCAACTTGATGACTTAAAAGTATAATAAATGATTGCGAATCTTAAGCTCCTATCCAGTATGGGGTTGTGGTCACTTTACACTAGAGTGACTTCAACTAGAGAAGAATTATTAACTAAACCCCATGATTTTCAGTAATTTTTCAGCTGACGTTATTTCGAACTTTATAGATTTAAAGGGTTGTTTTATAATCAGTTGTGTCCGTTGTGAGGCAGTTACTCACTGAAGACAATGGTGGACGGTCGTACAATATCGTGGATTGATTAAAATTAGACATTAACACCATTGGATGCCAGCTCAGTGGTCTAGAGGTTGGGCGTTCGTGCGCGAGACCGGAGGTCGTGGGTTCGAGTCCCTTTGGTATGGGATCGTGGAAGCGCACTGATGAGAATTCCCATACTAGGACTAAACTGCCGCCCAGTGCTTCCAGGCTTTCAATGGTGGCCTAACTTAGGTCAACTCATGAATTCAACTGTTAAAAATACTACAATCTCTACAAACTCACATTCTGATAATACTCATTCATATCCATTTATTTAAACAAATATAGTTGTAATGAGATCCATAACTGCCTAATTGAAGTGTTAGACCATATTACCTTCTATGTTTGAACAATTTTTAAACCCATTTTTCAGTAGTTAATATAGTGCTTCCAATTAAAAACACTATAATCTCGATTCATTCTTCACAACTCAGGTATAACTAAATTAAATTATTTGATTTTTTGGATGTAATAATAATATTTATTTAATCTATTGACTATTTTCAGGCAATTGGATAACTCTGACAGTGATGGTGAACCGGATAATGAAATAAGTTCAGATGATACAGACAGAAAAGATAATGATGATAATGATGAAAGGAAAAGAAGAAGAAGGACTACATCACATTCTGATTCGTCAAGATTTCAAACCGCTTTTAATGTTAATCGTTTCTGTATACCAATTACAGAAGAAAAGTTAACAAAAGAAAAATGTGAAAATTATGACAAAGATGAATATGACAGTGGTATAAAATGCAATCAAATTCGTCGTAATTCATCACCACATGAAGGCGAAAGTGATATATGGTCACCGGGTTCAGATAATGATAGCTTTTTGGCTACAAAAAGAGAACGAAATTATGAAATAAATCACGAATATGATAATCATTTAAATTTTGCTAATCCTAAAAAACAATGTTTAACTCATGAAACAATGAACTTAAATGAAAATAAAGTGAGTCAATCACCAACATTAGGACAAAAATCTTCGAATATTCAATCTAGTATTTTCACTGATAACAAGGTAAATGATGTTAACTCACCACCAAGAAATATGTTTAATTTACCTCTTGATATATCTGGTTTAGAAGGAAATACGCGGGTTACATTTTCTAAGCTTACATCACAGCGTACTGATTTTTCACATAGCAATGCAATTAACGATTTAAAACCTTCTGAACCAATAAATTATCCACCAACGATATCAGTTCCACGACCTATGAATTTAAACCTCTTCAATCGATTTGAATATCCATCAACTACTAATCGTGATAACTTAAATATTAGTGACGCTTTGAAATATTCCAACCTAAATTTTTTCAATATTAGTCCTTCTAAAACAAATTCTAATTCACAAATTTCTTGTGATATTACAAAACAATCGAATTCAATGAAAGATCCTAATGAAATACTTCGGAAAATGCACAATCCTGAACAGTTATTTTCTCCAATATTTACATCATTCCCTCCATTATTATCCAATTCTATAAAGCCTTCTGAAATGTTTCAAATGTTAAGGCCATTAAAAACTGACTCACTTAACTATTCGACTTTCTTTAACCCATCATCATTAACACATTCGATACTATCACCAAATAAACTATTTAATTTCAGACATAGTGAAACGGAAAAAGTTAATCATTTAAACAAGAGGATTACTGAAGATATTGTACTTCCTGAAAATTTATCTTTGCCTCAATCAACAAATCAACAAAGTACCAACACCCCTAATAATAATTCCCCTATTCCTAATGGTGCACTTTCGACAAATGAACCCTTTTCAGTATCTTCACTATCATCACCATCAACGACGTTTCTATGGCAAAAAATGTTTGAATGGTATTCAAACCAAATACAACAACAACATCAGTATCAGCAACAACAATCAAGCCTACCGACGGATTTATTGCAATACTTAACTCGAATTCATAGTGAACGTGATAATTGTGAAGTGAAGGGTACAATTTATGCTGGAAACAATAATAGTGATAAAACATTATTTGAATCTAGCAATTATATTAATACAATATTCAACCAACACAGAGAAGACTCTGTAAATATGAATAAGTCTAATGATAATGGTGATAAGAATTTGATCCCGTTGAACATTGATAAAACATCATATTCAACACATGAACAGACATTAAATCATCCAAGTACACCTTTAACAACTTTAAAACATGAAAAAGATTTCACAGTAAATAAGAAAGGATCTGTAAATAATTTGAAAATAAACATAAAAGAAGTAAGTCAAGGAAAAGATTATGAAGATCAGGAAGACACAGAGAATCTCTGTAATAATTTCCCACCTAACCAACTTGTCATTTCATCAGAACAGATTCAAATGTCATGTGATAGTTCCGAGGAATCATCTCTAGAAGTTTAAATTTGTATTATTCTTAACGAAAAGTAACTTAAAAAGTACAATATTCTTTTATTAATTCATTAAAATTCATCCCAAGGAAAATATTTTTTTCTCAGAATATATTATTTATTCTCCTTTTCTTTCCACTACTGTATAAAATGCATTACTGACAGTTATAACCACTATAAAAACAGTTATCATTACATTCCTACATTTTTGCGGTAGTTACACTTTTAAGCTGTCGAAATATATGTGCTACACTTTAATGTGCCCTTTTTTTCATAATCATTCTTGTTCATAATCTTGATTCCTTGTAGAAGGAACTTCAAAATGTGCTAAAGGCCAAGTGATATATTTGAACAAGTTAATTTCAAATAGAATTGAATGGAACTAGAGAATCAATCCAAATATTTCTTTCTTTTGTGAATGCATTTAGTTTTTATTTGTTTGTAAATAAATACCCTCAGCATTTATGTTAAATATACGTGGTTGTATTCATGTTTAATTCCTTGTCATGTATGTTAATTAAAAGGTAATAAGTATTCGTCAAAGGCAGTTTAATTATATATTGAGTAGTATCCTCCGAGTTGCTAAAAAACATATCTCAATTGTTATACCATGCAGTTATTGAACAAATCACCCATGTATTATTATCTTTGATTAATCTTGGTATTAGATTATAAGGACAATATTGGATAGGGGGTTGTTAAGTTGTTATTCTAACAAAATTGGAAAGCTTACGTCATTAGGGTTGCAATTATAAGGTTGATGAATAAACACTAAAACTTTGATGTAGTCATATTCACCTAAAGAAGCAACGATAAGTTTTATCGTTAGCTCGTGATTTATTTACATTTAATTTTACTGTTTAATCGTACACCATTCATATTGATCTGAAAGCTTATATAACTATATCAATCTGATCTGAATATTAGAAAACTGTCTTATCCATTCTAGAACCAAGTTATCATTAGCATATCAGAATAAATTTGCCTCAAATTAACCTAACTAAATCGCATGAATCTAGTTAACTTCTTGAATTAAATAAATCGGTTAATCAGGAATTAAGTTTAATAAATCTTGTCAGTTATTTATTTATTACAACGTTCAAATTAACAATATGTATTATCAACTAGGTATTTTATACAAACTGATAGTACTAGGTTGTCAATGATAAATTTTCAAATAAATGAATATAGTAATGACGGATAATGGCTAGCAGTAAAATCCAGGACGCGCGTTTCGTCCTATTTTCGGGACTCGTCAGCTGGATGTACCTGTGTGGTGTGAGCTACTTATACTGATATAAGTAGTATATAACGTGCGTTAAAAGAACGTAATGTCCGGCAGCAGAAGATGGCGAAGATCGAGAAAGGAAGAGCAAGAGCACAATGGAATTGTAAGAAAACGCATGTACAATGGAATGGGCGACAATGGATTAGTGTTTGCAACGGGAACAGTACAGTTTGATATGATGGAATGATATTTTGCAAATTGACGATTGACTTTATGGTATTCACATTTTATTGAGATAGTCTGTAATCTTTGTGCTAAATACAATCGGTTGTCCCCACCCGTGTTCTTGTTCACTACACCTGCATCTCAAAGTTGATGCTCACTCTGGGACTCGAACCCAGTACCATTCGCTTCAAACGCCATCGCGTTATCCACTCAGCTACTGAGTCCTGATAGCCACTTGGTTGTGCAGTGGGATGAATTTGAATTCACTTGGTATTGTTTGGCTTGTATATTCTCATCATTGCTTACAAATAGCTTGTGAATCAAAGTAATATCGAGGCATACGCACAGTATGTACATATGTCAATAACAGATTGATCAATTGCAGTCTTAAACCTCAATGGGAAGATACAAGCCGAACAATACCAAGTGAATTTAAATTAATATAGACTGATAAATTGTATCAATTCAGTATTAAACATAGATATTTGTATAATACAGAAATAAATGAGATTATTCTAAATTATACTATCATTATTATTATTATTATTATTCCATAAATTTTATTCTATTAATATTTCAATTAAATCAATTCATTGAAGCATTCGATGATATGCTTATTAGTGAAATTATGCATAAGCGATTAAACACTTTAAATGTTTATAAACACAAATTCATTCTATTCTCTATGACATCTGTTTTAAGGAGGAGCTGATTATATACAAAATTATTAATTAATCCAATGAGAATATTAAAATTTAAGAATAAAGACAATAAAATCACATTAAAATATAAAAGAACCTTCCATGGAAGTAAATGAACATAAATAAAATGTTGATACAATAAATAAAAAAAGTAGGATAATATACAGATTATGTCGACCACATGTTGTGCATAATTAATAAGAATAGTAAAGATTAAACGTTGAAAATATAGCGAATAATTAATTTTTGTTTGTTTGTTTATTTAAAACAAAAACAAAAAAACTGGTGGGAATGTGTTTACTCGTCAAATTAACAACGTATATCTTTTTTGTACACATACCCTGTACAATCAAAAGAGAATTATATGTAGGCATTCTTTTTTTAAAAAAAGTGAATTTATATACTCCCAGCTGAGATAAAAGAATATAGTTGACATCATTGATCTAGTTTAATTTGTAATTTTAAATAAAGATATTCTTTCATGAATATTTCAGTAAATAACATTTGTGGTTGAGTTCATAATAGTCTTTTATTAAAACTTGACTTTTATACACAACACATTTATATTATATGGAAAGTTGATTTTCTTAGCAAATAATAGGGTACAGTTTCAATGAAAAATATACCGAACTATTTTATCTTTGCATTTAAATTCAAGACCTAAATAAGATTATAACATCATTGGTTTAGATCATGAATCATTTGAAGCTAGACCATGCTGGAAAACCTGGAAACAAAGGACGACCGTTTTGTCCTATTGTGAGACTACTCGGCTGTGCGCATCCACGATCTCGCCTCTCGAGATTCAAACCCAGGACCTATCAGTCTGGCGCGTGAGTGCTTAACCTCTAGACCGCTGAGTCGGCATCCAACGGTGTTAATGTCTAACTTCAACCAATCCACGAAATTGAGCGACACACACCATTGTCATCAGTGAGTTACTATCTCACAACATACTCGATTATAACTGTTTAAGGACACAGACAATTCTTTCCGAACAACTATATTACATTGCCTATTAAATCGTGATAATTTGAACTTCACTACGCTATATAAGAGTTTGTTAAAGATTGCCGGTAATTTCTATAAGAGATTGTCATATTTATTTTATACATGCACAGGAATGAGCGTTGATTGCATCATTCATCATTAGAAAAATAAAACAAGCCACGTTTATCTTGGATAATTTGCTTTCAGACCACAAATGTCTTTTTTTAAATTAGCTTATCTAATCTAGGTTCAAGATTCAGAATGATGAAATATTAATAATAAATAATAAAGTTTATAACTGAATGTATTTTGTTGTTGTGACAGACTTTTTTTCTTAAAATAAATTATAAAGTGTTAATCGTCTTTCTGAAAATTACTATTAGCGATGACTTCATTTAGAAGTCTGTTATTTCGAAGTCTTCCATGGTGATAAATCAGCTTAGTTGTCATTATATTTATATGATAATGAGAATGATGACTGTTGTTTAGAATGACAATAAGAATTCTCCAACTCCTAAGGAGTGTTCATTTGTATCACCAATTTTTTTCCTTATTATTATTATTATTTTTATATTGAGATATTCAGATAAAAAGTATTACATGAACATTGAAATATGAAAAATTTAAGAATAAAAAGGAAACACTAATGGTAGCAAACATTCGTCTTAGTTACCAACATATATTAAATTGTATATGAAACAATTGTCTTTTAATAAATACCAGAAATACACACATAAGGTCAAGTCATATTTGAAAAAAACATGTATTTTGCCTATTTTTGTTGAGAGATATTATATTCCTATTGTATTATTGTTGTTTTTTCCCTGTGGCAAAAGTTCCAATTTCATGAAGAAAAAAAAGCAACAAATTTCATACAATAAATGAGTATTGATAAAGAATATATCTGTGTACTAATTCTTTAGATATTAATTAATATTAAAGTGTAATATGTGGATTACTTTGACCTAGATATTGAATACATGTAAATTGGAGGACAAGTAAGTTAGCAGTTACAATTGCTTTATCATTTGTCGCTATTTTATAATAGACACCCAAATATGATAGTTTGAATTGAAATATATTATAAATTTATAAGAAATATAATAATTGGATTATTCATATTGTTAAAACAAAAAAAGCATTCAACTCATTTTAGAGTAGATGGGAATTTAAACCATATGGCAATCCAGTATAGATATGAATATATACACTTATTTAACTTTTATAACCTCAAATTATAATTTATACAAACGTTATGATAAATGGCTGTGAATGAATGTGAGGTCATCTGGACATTCAAAAGACTATGAAGTAAGAGACAGTAGACAGCATCATACTCTCTTTTCTCTCTCTCTCTCTCTCTCTATATATATATATATATATATATATATATATTACAGTTACAATACATACCATCTGGTAGTTGAGACGACACGCATAAGAAAAAAGATGGTTTTATTGTTGTAAATTGAACACCTAAATAATTCACACCTTTAAAATGTATAAGTTAGTGTTTAAAAAATATTGAAAAAGAAAGCAAACTAATCCACAAAACAGATAACAAAACAATGTTGACAATTATATGAATAATTATTTATCACATCTTTCAAATAAATAATATGGTTGTATAGATCCGAAGTTACTGTTTTGTTTTAATTGACCTGATTAATGATTCAATATGATTAATTCAGTATTTTGTATCATAGAATTAGTTAATTTATGAATATTTATGTTGGAAAGCAGTTTGTGACTAATTAAAATACTGGATAAAATAGCTCTTTTATAACGTTTGTAATTTTCACAGATGGCTTAAAAAAAGTAGAAGTTACTTCAAAAAATTAGCACGAGCATCTTCATAGTTGCAAATATCTATAACATTGATTGATCGGTTTATACAGATAGAAATCAACTTGAGAACCTATGAACAGTCAATTGATGATATTTTTTAAGTGAAAACGTAAAAGTTAGGCTATAAGTGAACTTTTAAAATCGTTGGTTTGATATCTTGTGGCTGAAGATTTTCGAAAATCTCTTTAAGTAACCAATAAGTTTACTTCACTAATCGAGAATTAATCATAATCCGTTCTTTTTAGAACTAGAAGAGTGATTTTTTATTCTTGATGTACAGGTGGCCAATAACTAAACAAATATATTATGAATGAAGGTAGATTCAGGGGTTTCAGTTTCAGACTTAACTTTCTTTTAACCAAGAGAGATAGCTTTCTTCTCAGTGATCTTATTAATAACTTTGTGTAATTGTCCAGTTATCCACATGGCTTCTTTCGTCAATATAGTTCATTAACCTATTAGGTCAAGAAAAATATTCTCCTTAATGTAAAGTGAGAACCTAA